GTTTTTGAGTGCAGTTATGTAACCAAAAAAATCTGCATTTGTAAGTTACACTTTCACGATAAAGAGATTGCACTTCAGTACTTGTATGAGGTGAATTGAAAAATATTATTTCTTTTGTTATTCATTTTTACAGCTTGTAATAAAAATAATAATATAAAGTGAGCACTGTGCACTTCATATTCTGTGTTGTAATTGAAATCAATATTGAACATATAGAAAAACATCCAAAAATATTTAACAAATTTCAATTGGTATTCTATTGTTATAAGTGCAATTACTTGCAATTAATTTTTTAATCACAATTGCAATTAATTTTTTAATAGCAATAAATGTTTTTGAGTTAGTCACGTGAATTAACTGCGATTAATTGATAGCCCTACTAACTTTTCGTCAGTAATAGTTCCAATTCGACTTTGAATTTTTTTATCTTCTAAAGACAAAAACTTTTGGGTACTTTCAAGGAGATGTTAGTTCAGTGGTGACATAAACATAAGCTTCACTCTAGGTGTAAATTGACCAGAAAATGGGTGTAAGTGGGAAAGTACTATAGGGTGACTTGTACTGACTGGGCATTCAATGGTGTGCAAAGGCTAAGGAGGCAGAAAGGAAGCATATCAGGAAAAGCAACAAGGATACTCTATGTAAAATAAGGTAACTTATCTTGCATCTCCTGTTAGTTGCTTTTCATGCTATATTGCTCCTCCCACTCTTTGGGCATGTGAGGTCCTTCTGCACAGCCACCCAATATCAGATCAGCAAATGGTACTATTTTACCACTAATACATGGCTTCTCACAAGTTAACAGTTGGGCCCTGATTTTCCTTATTTACATCAGTTTTACTATGAAATTCTGGCTTCAATAGAGTTACTCCTGACTTTCACTAGTGTAAGGCAGAGGGGAAATCAAACCCCTGCTGTGACACTTAACACACTGAAAGAAAAGGAGGACTTGTGGCACCTTAGAGACTAACAAATTTATTTGAGCATAAGCTTTCGTGAGCTACAGCTCATTTTCTTTTTGCGGATACAGACTAACACGGCTGCTACTCTGAAACTTAACACACTGTTTGTATCACCATTTAATTTCAGTGTTTGTTTGTTTTTTTAAAAACTTGCTTGTGCTTAGACCAGATCTAAACTTGGTCCAGTATGTGTTGAGTTTCCTCTTGGTCTCATCACTGTTGAACATAGTAGAGGTTTCAGAGTAGCAGCCGTGTTAGTCTGTATCCGCAAAAAGAAAAGGAGTACTTGTGGCACATTAGAGACTGTAGGGAGCCAGGGTGGCTTCCCTCCGAACCAGAGGGTAAAGAGCCACCCTCTCAGCCTGAGTGGGCAGGGCCAGATCAAGCCAATCCCTGGAAGGGGAGGGGTGGGACAGGAAGTACAAAGAGCGGGGCCCTTTGCCCAGAGAAGAGAGCACCAGGGAGGGAGGGAGACACAGGCTGCTGGCTGCTCCCTTGCGATCCTGCTGCCGACCCAGGAGGAACCTGACTGGGAGGAAGGCCTGTGGCGACCAGGACTGCCAGCCGCTGAGTACCCGGAGGACCTGGAGGGGTCCGGCTGTAGCCCGGGCCAGCGTGAGTCCGACACAGAGGGGGAGCTGGAGCTGCCAGCAGCGGAATACCCGGACGAGCTGGAGGGACTGGAGAGATGTGCTTGAGAGACAGGGTAGGAAGTAGCCCAGGGGCAGAACTGCACCGTGGGGTGGGTGTGTTTGGTCAGCGGGCGTGGATGGCCTCCTGCCACTGTCAGGGCCCTGTGCTGGAACGCAGTGGAGTTGGGTGGGCCTGTGTTCCCCTACCCCGGCCAACCTGCCTGAGGGGTGTGCTACAAACCCATACCCAGCGCTCCCCTGCCTGAGGGGCGCGCTGCAGACTCCGGCCGGCACACCTCTCCCTCTAATTCCCCAACGCCCGAAAGGTGTGACTAAGGCCCACCAGTGGGACCATAGCTCTCCATCGCCCCCTAGGGGCTCGGAGGACCGATTGAAACCTGTCACAGAGACTAACCAATTTATTAGCGCAAAAGCTTTCGTGAGCTACAGCTCACTTCATCGGATGCATCCGATGAAGTGAGCCGTAGCTCACGAAAGCTCATGCTCACATAAATTGGTTAGTCTCTAAGGTGCCACAAGTCCTCCTTTTCTTTTTGAACATAGTAGAGTAGCCCATGTGCCCTAAGGGATAGGCTAGGACAGGATATATGTGCTGCAGTTTACTTTGGTATATTACTGGATCAAATTCATTGGCATATGACACACTCTGCACCAGGACGATGTATTTGCATTAGGCACTTGCACTTGTGAAGCTACATCTATGTCACCAGCACAACTTCTCTTAGGGTATGTCTACACTACGGAATAAGGTCGAATTTACAGAAGTCGGTTTTTTAGAAATCGGTTTTATATATTCAAGTGTGTGTGTCCCCACAGAAAATGCTCTAAGTGCATTAAGTGCATTAACTCGGCGGAGCGCTTCCACAGTACCGAGGCTAGAGTCGACTTCCGGAGCGTTGCACTGTGGGTAGCTATCCCACAGTTCCCGCAGTCTCCGCTGCCCATTGGAATTCTGGGTTGAGATCCCAATGCCTGATGGGGCTAAAACATTGTCGCGGGTGGTTCTGGGTACATATCGTCAGGCCCCCGTTCCCTCTCTCCTCCGTGAAAGCAAGGGCAGACAATCATTTCGCGCCTTTTTTCCTGAGTTACCTGTGCAGACGCCATACCACGGCAAGCATGGAGCCCGCTCAGGTAACCGTCACCCTATGTCTCCTGGGTGCTGGCAGACGTGGTACAGCATTGCTACACAGTAGCAGCAACCCCTTGCCTTGTGGCAGCAGACGGTACAGTACGACTGGTAGCCGTCATCGTCATGTCCGAGGTGCTCCTGGCCACGTTGGCTGGGAGCGCCTGGGCAGACATGGGTGCAGGGACTAAATTTGGAGTGACTTGACCAGGTCATTCTCTTTAGTCCTGCAGTCAGTCCTATTGAACCGTCTTATGGTGAGCGGGCAGGCGATACGGACTGCTAGCAGTCGTACTGTACCATCTTCTGCCAGGCAGGCAAGAGATGAGGATTGCTAGTAGTCGTATTGTACCATCTTCTGCCGAGCAGCCATGAGATGTGGATGGCATGCAGTCCTTCTGCACCGTCTGCTGCCAGCCAAAGATGTAAAAGATAGATGGAGTGGGTCAAAACAAGAAATAGACCAGATTTGTTTTGTACTCATTTGCCTCCTCCCCTGTCTAGGGGACTCATTCCTCTAGGTCACACTGCAGTCACTCACAGAGAAGGTGCAGCAAGGTAAATCTAGCCATGTATCAATCAGAGGCCAGGCTAACCTCCTTGTTCCAATAAGAACGATAACTTAGGTGCACCATTTCTTATTGGAACCCTCCGTGAAGTCCTGCCTGAAATACTCCTTGATGTACAGACACCCCCTTTGTTGATTTTAGCTCCCTGAAGCCAACCCTGTAAGCCGTGTCGTCAGTCGCCCCTCCCTCCGTCAGAGCAACGGCAGACAATCGTTCCGCGCCTTTTTTCTGTGCGGACGCCATACCAAGGCAAGCATGGAGGCTGCTCAGCTCACTTTGGCAATTAGGAGCACATTAAACACCACACGCATTATCCAGCAGTATATGCAGCACCAGAACCTGGCAAAGCGATACCGGGCGAGGAGGCGACGTCAGCGCGGTCACGTGAGTGATCAGGACATGGACACAGATTTCTCTGAAAGCATGGGCCCTGCCAATGCATGCATCATGGTGCTAATGGGGCAGGTTCATGCTGTGGAACGCCGATTCTGGGCTCGGGAAACAAGCACAGACTGGTGGGACCGCAGAGTGTTGCAGGTCTGGGACGATTCCCAGTGGCTGCGAAACTTTCGCATGCGTAAGGGCACTTTCATGGAACTTTGTGACTTGCTTTCCCCTGCCCTGAGGCGCATGAATACCAAGATGAGAGCAGCCCTCACAGTTGAGAAGCGAGTGGCGATAGCCCTGTGGAAGCTTGCAACGCCAGACAGCTACCGGTCAGTTGGGAATCAATTTGGAGTGGGCAAATCTACTGTGGGGGCTGCTGTGATGCAAGTAGCCCACGCAATCAAAGATCTGCTGATATCAAGGGTAGTGACCCTGGGAAATGTGCAGGTCATAGTGGATGGCTTTGCTGCAATGGGATTCCCTAACTGTGGTGGGGCTATAGACGGAACCCATATCCCTATCTTGGCACCGGAGCACCAAGCCGCCGAGTACATAAACCGCAAGGGGTACTTTTCGATAGTGCTGCAAGCTCTGGTGGATCACAAGGGACGTTTCAGCAACATCAACGTGGGATGGCCGGGAAAGGTGCATGATGCTCGCATCTTCAGGAACTCTGGTCTGTTTCAAAAGCTGCAGGAAGGGACTTTATTCCCAGACCAGAAAATAACTGTTGGGGATGTTGAAATGCCTATATGTATCCTTGGGGACCCAGCCTACCCCTTAATGCCATGGCTCATGAAGCCGTACACAGGCAGCCTGGACAGTAGTCAGGAGCTGTTCAACTACAGGCTGAGCAAGTGCAGAATGGTGGTAGAATGTGCATTTGGACGTTTAAAGGCGCGCTGGCGCAGTTTACTGACTCGCTTAGACCTCAGCGAAACCAATATTCCCACTGTTATTACTGCTTGCTGTGTGCTCCACAATATCTGTGAGAGTAAGGGGGAGACGTTTATGGCGGGGTGGGAGGTTGAGGCAAATCGCCTGGCTGCTGGTTACGCGCAGCCAGACACCAGGGCGGTTAGAAGAGCACAGGAGGGCGCGGTACGCATCAGAGAAGCTTTGAAAACCAGTTTCATGACTGGCCAGGCTACGGTGTGAAAGTTCTGTTTGTTTCTCCTTGATGAAACCCCCCGCCCCTTGGTTCACTCTACTTCCCTGTAAGCTAACCACCCGCCCCTCCTCCCTTCAATCACCGCTTGCAGAGGCAATAAAGTCATTGTTGCTTCACATTCATGCATTCTTTATTCATTCATCTCACAAATAGGGGGATGACTACCAAGGTAGCCCAGAAGGGGTGGTGGAGGAGGGAAGGAAAATGCCACACAGCACTTTAAGCACAGCACTTTAAAAGTTTACAACTTTAAAATTTATTGAATGACAGCCTTCTTTTTTTTGGGCAATCCTCTGTGGTGGAGTGGCTGGTTGGCCGGAGGCCCCCCCACCGCGTTCTTGGGCGTCTGGGTGTGGAGGCTATGGAACTTGGGGAGGAGGGCGGTTGGTTACAGAGGGGCAGCAGTGGCACTCTGTGCTCGAGCTGCCTTTGCTGCAGCTCAACCATACACTGGAGCATACTGGTTTGGTCCTGCAGCAGCCTCAGCATTGAATCCTGCCTCCTCTCATCACGCTGCCGCCACATTTGAGCTTCAGCCCTCTCTTCAGCCCGCCACTTACTCTCTTCAGCCCGCCACCTCTCCTCCCGGTCATTTTGTGCTTTCCTGCACTCTGACATTATTTGCCTCCACGCATTCGTCTGTGCTCTGTCAGTGTGGGAGGACAGCATGAGCTCGGAGAACATTTCATCGCGAGTGCGTTTTTTTTTCTTTCTAAGCTTCGCTAGCCTCTGGGAAGGAGAAGATCCTGTGATCATTGAAACACATGCAGCTGGTGGAGGAAAAAAAAAGGGACAGCGGTATTTAAAAAGACACATTTTATAAAACAGTGGCTACACTCTTTCAGGGTAAACCTTGCTGTTAACATTACATACATAGCACATGTGCTTTCGTTACAAGGTCGCACTTTGCCTCCTCCCACCGCGTGACTACCCCCTCAACCTTCCCCCCTCCCTGTGGCTAACTGCGGGGAACATTTCTGTTTAGCCACAGGCAAACAGCCCAGCAGGAATGGGCTCCTCTGAGTGTCCCCTGAAGAAAAGCACTCTATTTCAACCAGGTGACCATGAATTATATCTCACTCTCCTGAGGATAACACAGAGAGATAAAGAATGGATGTTGTTTGAATGCCAGCAAACATACACTGCAATGCTTTGTTCTACAATGATTCCCGAGTACGTGTTACTGGCCTGGAGTGGTAAAGTGTCCTACCATGAAGGACGCAATAAGGCTGCCCTCCCCAGAAACCTTTTGCAAAGGCTTTAGGACTACATCTAGGAGAACCGCAAATGCCAGGGCAAAGTAATCCTTTCACATGCTTGCTTTTAAACCATGTATAGTATTTTAAAAGGTACACTCACCAGAGGTCCCTTCTCCGCCTGCTGGGTCCAGGAGGCAGCCTTGGGTGGGTTCGGGTACTGGCTCCAGGTCTAGGGTGAGAAACAGTTCCTGGCTGTCGGGGAAAACCGGTTTCTCCGCTTGCTTGCTGTGAGCTATCTACAACCTCCTCATCATCATCATCTTCCTCGTCCCCAAAACCTGCTTCCGTATTGCCTCCATCTCCATTGAAGGAGTCAAACAACACGGCTGGGGTAGTGGTGGCTGAACCCCCTAAAATGGCATGCAGCTCATCATAGAAGCGGCATGTTTGGGGCTCTGACCCAGAGCGGCTGTTCGCCTCTCTGGTTTTCTGGTAGGCTTGCCTCAGCTCCTTCAGTTTCACGCGGCACTGCTTCGGGTCCCTGTTATGGCCTCTGTCCTTCATGCCCTGGGAGATTTTCACAAAGGTTTTGGCATTTCGAAAACTGGAACGGAGTTCTGATAGCACAGATTCCTCTCCCCAAACAGCGATCAGATCCCGTACCTCCCGTTCGGTCCATGCTGGAGCTCTTTTGCGATTCTGGGACTCCATCATGGTCACCTGTGCTGATGAGCTCTGCATGGTCACCTGCAGCTTGCCACGCTGGCCAAACAGGAAATGAGATTCAAAAGTTCGCGGTTCTTTTCCTGTCTACCTGGCCAGTGCATCTGAGTTGAGAGCGCTGTCCAGAGCGGTCATAATGGAGCACTCTGGGATAGCTCCCGGAGGCCAATACCATCGAATTGTGTCCACAGTACCCCAAATTCGAGCCGGCAACGTCGATTTAAGCGCTAATCCACTTGTCAGGGGTGGAGTAAGGAAATCGATTTTAAGAGCCCTTTAAGTCGAAATAAAGGGCTTCATTGTGTGGACGGGTGCAGGTTTACATCGATTTAACGCTGCTAAATTCGACCTAAAGTCCTAGTGTAGACCAGGGCTTAATGTAGATAGAACCAGACTGGTCTCTGCTGCACCAGTGGGTGTGGAATGAGGCCAGGGAGACTGGAATGACATTTTGCTAGTGGCTGATTGTGCTTATCCCATGTGCATTTACTGTTTTCAGTTTGTTTGCATTTCTGGGATTTGGATATTTGTTAGGTTATTTATGTAATAGGCTCAAAGTTTGGAGTTTGCCTTAATGAACCTAAAGGAATGTTATTGCTCTGACTGAAGTTTTGAGCATATTTATTTTGTTGGTGTCTTTATTAAACACACAGATCTAACCTTCTTGTAAAGGGTTCCTGGTGATGTCCCATTTTCCCAGCAGAACAATATCTACTGTAAACTCCTGGTTCAGTGCATGCCCTCCACCTGGAGGCACAAAAGTCTGTCGTGTGAGACAGAATCATTTTGTGTGTAGCTTGTGTATGTGGTGTGTTTTTTTTTTTTTTTTTAATTTAACTCTATTGGTGCACTTCTAGTGTGCAGGGAAGGCCTAACTCAGTCTGTATGGTCTGCTGAGGGCAGCTCAGCCCATTCTTAGACCGGCCTCCCTTTGCAAGGGCTACTAAATACGTTTAGATATATTAACAATTCCCAAGTATTTAAATCTGTTATCGGTTGGTCAAACCTAACTGAAGCTGATGGGTGTAACAACTACCTTTCATCTATAATACATATAAAGTAGCCATTAAGCTCCTTGGGCCTTACCCATAGTTTTGATTAAGAAAATGGATGGCAGCATCAGATTCTGCGTGGACTATAGAAAATAAAACTAAATCTCTTTAAAGGATTCTTATCAATTGTCATGAATAGGCAATTCCCTGGATGCTGTGGCAGATTAAATCTAGTTTTCCACACTGGATCTTAAAAGTGGCTATTGGCAGGTGGAAGTAAATCCAAAAGGACAAGGAGAACTTTTTTTGGCAGCTGAACAAAGCCTATGGCAATTTAAAATGACAGCCACACATGAAAGGCTAGTGGTAAGCGTATTACATGGCATGCCTCTCAGCTTGTTTGTTATGCCTGCATGATGAACTGGTGCATACTAAAAACTTTTACAGGTGGTCCCTGATAAGCTGAAGGCTGCCAATCTGAAACTGAACACAAAGAAATGTGAGGGTTTTTTTTTAAAAATATTTTACCCTGGGCACAGTTGGCAGAGATAGCTGCAGCGCTACAGAGTAAATTCTACTCTTGTTACAGAAGATTTATTTGGGAAGTTTGTTAATACTGCAAAACAACTTACACAAGTTTCACACTTACTGATGTCAACAGAATTACTCCTAATTTACACTGATGTAAAGCAGAATGGAATCAGACCTCTAATGTGCTATCTAGTGTGCCCTTGTTAGCCAAGAAGGCCAGTAGTATTTTGGGATGTATAAGTAGGGGCATTGCCAGCAGATCGAGGGACGTGATCGTTCCCCTCTATTCGACACTGGTGAGGCCTCATCTGGAGTACTGTGTCCAGTTTTGGGCCCCACACTACAAGAAGGATGTGGAAAAATTGGAGAGAGTCCAGCGGAGGGCAACAAAAATGATTAGGGGACTGGAACACACAACTTATGAGGAGAGGCTGAGGGAACTGGGGATGTTTAGTCTGCGGAAGAGAAGAATGAGGGGGGATTTGATAGCTGCTTTCAACTACCTGAAAGGGGGTTCCAAAGAGGATGGCTCTAGACTGTTCTCAGTGGTAGCAGATGACAGAACAAGGAGTAATGGTCTCAAGTTGCAGTGGGGGAGATTTAGGTTGGATATTAGGAAAAACTTTTTCACTAGGAGGGTGGTGAAACACTGGAATGCGTTACCTAGGAGGGTGGTGGAATCTCCTTCATTAGAAGTTTTTAAGGTCAGGCTTGACAAAGCCCTGGCTGGGATGATTTACTTGGGTATTGGGCCTGCTTTGAGCAGGGGGTTGGACTAGATGACCTCCTGAGGACCCTTCCAACCCTGATATTCTATGCTTCTATGATCTACAGCACTGAATTTCAATGAAAACTGCACCCATGTATGCCAGGTCTAAATTTGGCTTGCCTTGAGGGTTCCCCCTTGGTGATCACAACATAGTACAACAGCCCACATGTATGTAGGGATATGCTATAGTAAATAAGATCTAGATTCTATAACAACTCCGATCCATCTACATTTCACACCAGTGTAATAGCATTGATGTAGTTACACTGGTACAAACCCCTCGTGTTGATGTGCTGCACTGGTGTGAAGTGGGGCTTTCACTCATGCACTTTTCTTTGGTATGCTGGATTAAGTTGCACTGGTGCAAGCTCTGTTTTGCACCAATCCAGTGCATTAGGAATTTATACTGATGAACCTACATCAATGTCTTTACATTAGCCTGATTTTCCTTAATGTAGCTAGAGCCAGAGGCCTGGTGTAAACTGAGAGGTTATGCCAATTTAATTTAAATCAGGTGTTAAATTGATACAAATCCCTGTGTGGGCACTCTTATTTCACCTTATTAGTGGGGTTTTTCCAGTTAATCTTAAACAGATGCCTAATCAACTTGCCAAATAAGATAAACCAAAATATGCTGTGTTCAAACCAAAATAAGTGTCCACACAGCCTTTTGCACCAGTTTAACTAAATCAGTGTTTAAAAATCCCATCTTCAGTTAAACTAGGTCAACTCTGTCTGTAGACAAGGCCTTGGTCAGTGCTGTAACAGCAGGGGTAGGATGAGGTTGGGACTGGAATGACATTTTGCTAATGTCTGTTTGTGCTTATCCTGTGTGCTTCAGTGTGTTCAGTTTGTTTGCATTTCTGGAATTGGGGTATTTGTTTCAGATTATTTATCTAACAGGTGTTCAAAGCGTGGAGTTTGCCCTAAAGAAACTAAAGGAATGTTATTGCTCTGACTGAAGTTCTTGAGCAAATTTGTTTGTCCCAGCTTTGTTTTTATTTGTCTCATCTCTAAAATTAGATCTGTGTCTATTAATGTGCTAGTTATTCATGCCCACCTTTGAAACTTCAGAAGATGAGGTGTAGCCTAGTGAAGTGCGTGCTCCGCACAATACCTACCATAAACATGTGGCTCAGTGCATGCCTCTGCATGGAGGTTCAAAAGTCCATGTGGGGTGAGGCAAGGCCATTTTGCCTTTCAAAAACCTATGTAGTTCTACTGGCACACTGCGTGTGGGCGAGGCCTAACTCAGACTGTGTGCTCTGCTTAGGCACTTCCTAATTACACTTCCTAACCACACAAAACTGAACACCCTAGCTCTGCCCCTTCCCTGAGGCCCCGCCCCCACTCACTACATTCCCCCTCCCTCTGTGGCTTGCTCTCCCCCATCCTCACTCACTTTCACTAGGCTGGGGCAGTGTGTTGGGGTGAAGGTGCGGGCTCTGGGGTGGGGCCAGAAATGTGGGTTTCAGGGCTTGGAAGGGGACTCTAGGCTGGGGCAGGGAATCGGTGTGGAGGGGGTGAGGGCTCCAGCTGGAGGTGTGGGCTCTGGGCTGGGGATGAGGGGTTTGGGGTGCAGGAGGGAGCTCTGGGTTGGGTGGGGGCTCAAGGCTGGGGCAGGGGGTTGGGGTGCAGGCTTACCTTGGGTGGCTCCCAGTCAGTGGCGCTGCAAGGCTAAGGCAGGCTCCCTGTCTGTCCTGGCACCACGCTGCGCCCCGGATGCGGCCAGCAGGTCCAGCTCCGAGGCGCAGGGGCCAGGAGGCTCCACACACTGCTCTCACCTACAGGCACCATCTCCCATTCGCCACAGTTCCAGTCTTCTGGAATTTCCACAGTGCTCCAAGACTTACTAAAAAATCAACATTAATGGTTGTGTGAGTTTCTCAACCAGCTCTCTTAAAACTCTTTGCAAGTTATCTGGAGCTGCTGATTTAAAAAATGTCTAACTTCAATTTCTGCTGTTTAACATTTTTTCCATTCCACTATTATCTCGGGGGGGAGGGGGGGAAGAAAGGAGGGAGTTTCATCACATAAAGAACAGAAATATTTAATAGAAAAAGCTATTCTAGATCCAAACATTTTCTAACCCTTTAAGGTAAGTATTCTAAACAGTTGTTTGGTAAGCGAATATGAAAAGGTAGTTTCCATGCTTGAAGCTCCATCTCGAACTCACTCCTTGCTTCTTGCCTTTAGAATCACTTACATTTGGTGAAGTGTCTTGCTCAATTGTATCCATCTATTAACTCTGCTAAAATGAGAACATATCCAGAGATGTCACTGCTACATCAAAATCACTTTAATTCGCTAACACTTACTACTTCTTCCCTAAAGGTATATGACCTTTTTGTCTCTTCCTAAGTTTTTGGCACCTCTGTTGCTAGGTATCAGAGTAACAGCCGTGTTAGTCTGTATTCACAACAAGAAAAGGAGTACTTGTGGCACCTTAGAGACTAACCAATTTATGTGAGCATAAGTTTTCGTGAGCTACAGCTCACTTCATCGGACGCATCCTTAAACGCAAACTTTGCAGACGTCTAGTCCAAGCATCCTCTATCTGATCAGAATACACCCAGTATCCTAGTTACTGCTGAATAATCAAGATTGTTCTGTAGGTCTTTCCTAGGATTACTTCCACTATGAATGATAGCTCACTTTCCAGTATATTTGACACCATTTGCAAAGGATATCCAATTCAAACCAGGCCTCTGAAATATGACTGTTGCAGAGGCTGCATAAAGTCACTGAGTCTTGCCCGTGCAGAGTGCAGCATCAGGATTTATGCATTGCTGAAGTGGAACAATTACAAATGTCATTGTCTTTGTCAGCATTTCTCTCTCCTGCCTAGTGTAACGGTAACTAACACCGAGCTGGTTACCCCCCCTCAGACTGTAATCAGAGGCAGCAATTCATTCCAAAAATAATGCCACCTTAATCTTTTGTTATGAAACTTGAATTGGCCAAGATTATGACTAATGAAGATCACTTTTAGTATTATATCGAGATTGCATTAATGGAAGATATTGCATTCAATGTTAAGGTTACACGATTAAAATTAGTCAGAATACTGAAGAATCTAAAATAACTAACCTGCCCTACTGAAAGCCTGTATATTCATGTACTTTACATCATAAGCAGCTATATAGTAAGACAGTAGTTTTATTTATTCAGCCCCAACATAAGCTGGGAACTTTACAGATACAGAAGACAGATCCCTGCCTTTTGAGTTTACAATCTTAGACCCTGATTTTTCCAATGAACTCTGTACCAGTGGGCCACTGCACCCAAAGGATTACAGGATTCAGTTTAAGGGCTTGGCTGTGGCTGGCCTCTCCATGGATATGGTGCCGGGGGGGGAGCAGTGCATGGAGTGGCACGTGGGCCACCATTGCCTTGTCCTCCCCTTCCCCCCAAAGACTGATCACAAGCATAGTCCTTGAGCACACATAGTGTCTTTCATAACCTCACATTTCTTCACCTACACAACCACACCAGTCAACAGGGCTAGCTGGCTGTGGTAATAAGCATGTGCTGCACTTATCTTAAGGGGTAATAGCAACTAGCAAAGTTTCCCTGGTGTCTCAAAGCTCCTACTGAGGTGATACAGCTGCACCCCACCAATCCAGGCCTGTGCTTTCAGGGCCTGCTGAAAACCTATTAAAATCAGTCAACAGATTCCCATGGGTTTTAAGAAGTATCAGAACAGGCCTTAAATGCATGATGTTTCAAAAATGACCTGTAACTTTTGGTTGCCACAGCTCTGGGTGCTCAACAACTTAAGGGTCCTTGGGGTTGGTTTATTTGTCAGAAGTGCTGAGTATCCACATGTCCCCCTGACATCATGAGTCAGTATTATGAAAATTTAACAATTAAATAAACCAAAAGAAAAACCCTTAAGTATACTCAGTGGGGGGCAAAAGAAAAGCACTTATCCTACGGGTGCTCATTAGATACCTTTTGTTGTTCGTTACTTGGAATACAGTAAACCAATTATTTAAAATCAAACATTTAAACTACCATCTCAGGAAAGCGCAATCTAGGTACTTGAAATTACGTTAAACTATTAGGGAAGATTATTTACGAAACTGTAAAATCCACCACCATTTGGAATGTGTAAAATAAGGTTGAATAAAACTAAAGAAAATGTACCGTAGGAACAACTCCCCAAGAAACAATTGGCTTGGAATGACCAATTGTATTTGTATTATTATGGTAGTACCTAGGCACCTGAGTCACAGAACCCGACTCTTTCCTGGTAGGCACTATACAAAGAGAACACAAGGATGGTCTCTGCCACAAAGAGCTTATAATCTATATAGCTGACTTCCGTTTCTAATTTTTTCTGATTCTGTAAAGCTATCCATAAATCAAATTCTAAATAGGCAGAGCTAGTCAGTTGGTAAAATTTGTTAAAAATGAGGAGTGCAGGTTTGTACCTGCTTGACTTTAAAATACTGAGGTTTAAAATTGTATGAACACATAGATGCATCTACCTTGCTAAGGTAGTTGCCAAGATTGTACATACAAATAAAGTTTTCATCACAAAGTCCAACTGTTCATATAAGTGGCCATTTGTGCGCTGTTACCCAGTTGGCATTTACAGTTGCAATAAGAATATAGAATGGCCATAGTGGGCCAGCCCAATGGTCCATCTAGCCCAGTATCCTGTCTTCCAACAGTGGCCAATGCCAGGTGCTTCAGGCGGAATGAACAGAACAGGTGATCAAGTGATCCATCCCATCACCCTTTCTCAACTTCTGGCAAACAAAAGCTAGGGGTTCTATCCCTGCCCATCCTGACTAATAGCCATTGATGGACCAATCCTTCATGAATTTACCTAGTTCTTTTTTGAACCGTTATAGTCTTAGTCTTCACAACATCCTCTGGCAAAGAGTTCCACAGATTGTGTGGATTGCGTTGTGTGAAGAAATACTCCCTTCTGCTTGTTTTAAACCTGCTGCCTACTGAATTTCATTTGGTGACCCCCTAGTTCTTGTGTTATGGCACACAATTTGTGCTTGTGACCTGCAAATATTTGTGGCACATATGCATGCAGTTTTAAAAATTAGTCCCCAAATGTACTTTTCTTCTCTTCCCTTCTGCTCTCTCACTTTGGGGTACCAAGGGGCAATGCTGTAAGAACATCAGCTTCTAGCTCTCCCCTAACACTCCCACCCAGATCCTTGACCATACAGGTATCTCAGATGGATTTCCACCAGTTCTGTTGAGATAAAGAGTTAGAAACAGGTACTGGATCCTTCTGAAAAAGGTACAGAGCTCCTATATCTAGACAGGTGTGGCATACGAGACCGTTATATCTAGGAAAAATTGCAGAGCCATTGGCCATTATCTTTGAAAACTCGTGGCAAACGGAGGAAGTCCCGGATGACTGGAAAAAGGCTAATGTAGTGCCAATCTTTAAAAAAGGGAAGAAGGAGGATCCTGGGAACTACAGGCCAGTCAGCCTCACCTCAGTCCCCAGAAAAATCATGGAGCAGGTCCTCAAAAAATCAATCCTGAAGCACTTACATGAGAGGAAAGTGATCAGGAACAGTCAGCATGGATTCACCAAGGGAAGGTCATGCCTGACTAATCTAATCGCCTTCTGTGATGAGATTACTGGTTCTGTGGATGAAGGGAAAGCAGTGGATGTATTGTTTCTTGACTTTAGCAAAGCTTTTGACACTGCCTCCCACAGTATTCTTGTCAGCAAGTTAAAGAAGCATGGGCTGGATGAATGCACTATAAGGTGGGTAGAAAGTTGGCTAGATTGTCGGGCTCAACGGGTAGTGATCAATGGCTCCATGTCTAGTTGGCAGCCGGCGTCAAGTGGAGTGCCCCAGGGGTCGGTCCTGGGGCCGGTTTTGTTCAATATCTTCATAAATGATCTGGAGGATGGTGTGGATTGCACTCTCAGCAAATTTGCGGATGATACTAAACTGGGAGGAGCGGTAGATACGCTGGAGGGCAGGGATAGGATACAGAGGGGCCTAGACAAATTGGAGGATTGGGCCAAAAGAAATCTGATGAGGTTCAATAAGGATAAGTGCAGGGTCCTGCACTTAGGACGGAAGAACCCCAATGCATAGCTACAGACTAGGGACCGAATGGCTAGGCAGCAGTTCTGCGGAAAAGGACCTAGGGGTGACAGTGGACGAGAAGCTGGATATGAGTCAACAGTGTGCCCTTGTTGCCAAGAAGGCCAATGGCATTTTGGGATGTATAAGTAGGGGCATAGCGAGCAGATCGAGGGACGTGATCGTCCCCCTCTATTCGACATTGGTGAGGCCTCATCTGGAGTACTGTGTCCAGTTTTGGGCCCCACACTACAAGAAGGATGTGGATAAATTGGAGAGAGTCCAGCTAAGGGCAACAAAAATGATTAGGGGACTGGAACACATGACTTATAAGGAGAGTCTGAGGGAACTGGGATTTTTTAGTCTGCAGAAGAGAAGAATGAGGGGGGATTTGATAGCTGCTTTCAACTACCTGAAAGGGGGTTCCAGAGAGGATGGTTCTAGACTATTCTCAGTGGTAGAAGAGGACTGGACAAGGAGTAATGGTCTCAAGTTGCAGTGGGGGAGGTTTAGGTTGGATATTAGGAAAAACTTTTTCACTAGGAGGGTGGTGAAACACTGGAATGCGTTACCTAGGGAGGTGGTAGAATCTCCTTCCTTAGAAGTTTTTAAGGTCAGGCTTGACAAAGCCCTGGCTGGGATGATTTAATTGGGGATTGGTCCTGCTTTGAGCAGGGGGTTGGACTAGATGACCTCCTGAGGTCCCTTCCAACCCTGATATTCTATGATTCTATAAAACTGTTACTGAGTAAGGCTGAAATTCCATGTGCCTCAGGCCATGATAATAATGGATGGAAAAGCAGGAAACATCACTGATTTTTTTTAAATCATGCCTGCTAGTTGAAGCTGCTTAGGGAGTCAGTTAAAATAAGTCCAGGGTAGATGGCTTAGTGGGTAGTGGACAAGGAGGCACCTGCTTTAGACATTTATTACTTAGTATTACATTTATCATTAGTGTCTCTGCAGGGGTAGAGGGCACGTTGTCTTGTTGCACGGAGGGAATGGCTGTCTGTTAACTACAGTAATAGTTCCTGCTAGACTCAAACACACACCACGGAGCAAGATTGAGCTGGGCTTCGCCGTGGCTTTTAATGGCTGTGGTGGGTAACGGGGTACGCTGGGCCCAGAAGCACGTCTCACCAGGCCTGGCAGTGGAAAGCATTTGGGGGACCCTACATGCGGCCTGCAGCACCACTCCTGAGCACGGAGTCCGAGCCACAGCGTGGAGGGGCCTCTGCCCTGGCGCTAGAGCCCCGGGGCCAGCCCCCAGAGCGTCTCCCCTACGGCCCAGCTCTGCCGCTCCTCTCCCCTCCCCGCGCTCCCCTCACACGGGGAAGAAGCAGCGGCCACCGCCCCGGACAAACCTGCCTGAGGCGGGGCCTGTGGGAGGCTCCCCAAGCGGAGCAGCCGATTGGCTGCAGGCTCTGCGCGTCAGGGCCCCTCCGCCCTGGAGCTGCCGGACAGCCCCGAGCCCGCAACCGGCACAGCGGACTAGTGTCTGGGCCGGCGCGGCGGGCAGCCTGAGAGCGGCGTCCCTGCAGCCGGGTAAGGGCGGCCGCGGGGCCGAAGTGCGTCGCTGGGCGGGAGCCGCCGCGTGGGGCAGGGGGAGCCGGGGGCTCGAGGGGAGCGGGAGCCGCTCCCTTGGCGCTGTGGCGATGCTGAGGCCGGAGCCGCTGCAGGGCGCGAAACCACGGCCTCTGGTGCTGCCCCTTCCCGCTTGCGGCGCCGCTGAGCCCTACCCCAGACGCCTACGCAGCGAGTGCGACCCAGGCACGCTCCGCCGAGGCCTCGCTCCCCTGGGGAGGGGAGGAGCCGGGCGGGTCTCGGCCGCGCCCGTGTGTCTGCGCTGGGCGGGCCGGCCGCTGGCTCGCCGCCTCGGGGAGGGCCCTAGGGAAGGGCAAGGCGAGCCCCAAGCCGTGGTGGCGTGGGCTGGACCCGCGAGCGCACGGAGCCGAGGGCAGGGCGGCTGTTACCCGTCTCCCCTTGTGGGGGACGGGAGGCTGCTCCGATAGAAGAAAAGGAGGACTTGTGGCACCTTAGAGACTAACCAATTTATTTGAGCATGAGCTTTCCTGAGCTGAGCTGTAGTTCACGAAAGCTTATGCTCACATAAATTGGTTACTCTAAGGTGCCACAAGTACTCCTTTTCTTTTTGCGAATACAGACTAACACGGCTGTTACTCTGAAACCTGCTCCGATAGGGTTGCCGGGTGTCCGGTTTTCGATCCGAGCGCCCTGTCGAAAAGGGACCTTGGCGGCTCCGGTCAGCACCGTTGGGCCGTTAAAAGTCCGGTTGGCGCAGAGCTTGCAGCCTCCCTACCTGGCTCTGTGCGGCTCCTGGGATGCAGCCGGCATGTCCCTTTGGCTCCTAGGGGTAGGGGCAGCCACGGGGACTCGACGCGCTCCCCTTACCCTGAGCGCTGGTTCCGCAGCTCCCATTGGCCAGGGACTGTGGTCAATGGGAGCTGCGGGGGCGGCACCAGCATGTGGAGCCGCCTGGCCGTGCCTCTGCCTGGGAGCCAAATGTGTGACTAGTTCCCATGAGCCATTTGAGGTAAGCGCTGTCCAGAGGAGTCTGCATCCCAATCCTCTGCCCCAGTCCCCTCTTGCACCCAAACTCCTGTCCGGACGCTGCACCCCAAGCCCCTTTCCCATCCTGGAGTTCCCTTCCGCACCCTGAACCCATCATTTCTGACCCCATCCTGGAGCCCATGTCATCAGCCAGAGCCCTCACCGCATTGTGTAGTCATACAGTACAGAACCAGACTGCAGCTTTACTTTTCAAAGGGAGTGTTTAGAATTACTGAGGTGCTCAAGACAAGTTCTGTGTAGAAAGCTTCAGTGTGAGGTCCGATAGCACCACATGCCCTTAAGAGGAGTCATGCAGATTTGGGCAGTAGAGAATGCAAAAAGTAGATAAATAAACAAGGAGGTCTCTCTCAAATGATCTAACAACCATCCTTGACAAAAGTAAAAATATGACAGGTTTCAGAGTAACAGCCGTGTTAGTCTGTATTCGCAAAAAAAAAAAAAAGGAGTACTTGTGGCACCTTAGAGACTAACCAATTTATTTGAGCATAACAAGTTTATGCTCAAATAAATTGGTTAGTCTCTAAGGTGCCACAAGTACTCCTTTTTCTTTTTGTAAAAATATGAGTTATTCATAGGCTTCTTATTGCTTCATGGCAATAAGCCACTCCTGTTAATGTAGGAAGAGTGGTATTAGAGCTGTTTGGAACACTTTAGATCAGTGGTTCTCAAAGCTGGTCTGCCCCTTGTTCAGGGAAAGCCCCTGGCGGGCCGGACTGGTTTGTTTACCTGCCGTGTCCACAAGTTCAGCCAATCGCGGACGCAGTTTGCCGCTCCAGGCCAATGGGGGCTGCGGAAAGCGGTGTGGGCCAAGGGACAGGCTGGCCACCCTTCCTGAAGCCCCCATTGGCCTGGAGCAGTGAACCGCAGCCAGTGGGAGCTGCGATCGGCCGAACCTGCGGACGCAGTAGGTAAACAAACCGGTCTGGTGCTCCAGTGGCTTTCCCTGAACAAGCGACAGACCAGCTTTGAGAACCACTGCTTTAGATAACTTTTTGTCAAAATATGCTGGGTTGTCAAAACTGAAATGTTTTACGGAGAGAGACTCAATTCACTGAAGTTCTCACCAGGAAGGATTCTGAAGTCCCCTGTGAACTCTAGACAAATCCGGACATAAAGATTAATTGAAACCCTGACCGTTTTGATTGGAAAACAGACACTTAGACACAAATCTCTTTCACAACAAATATTTGAAAGGTTTTGTTTTCACTTCACTGTGGAATGAAAACAAATTTGAAACCTCAGAAGTTTTTGCAAAACTGAATTGTTGTCCTCCATCCAGCTCTAAGTGGTAAGTTTAAGCAAATGACTTGCTAGGTCTTTAAAGAAATTCACAAAAAGGTGTTCACACTAAGACTATGTCTGTGTTAGCACTGTTGTTCGGATAACTTATGTCACTCAGGGGTGTGAAAAACACACACCCCTGACCAGCCTAAGTTACACTAACAGAAGTGTTGGTGTGGATGGTGCTATGTTGGCGGGAGGCGCTCTCCTGCTGACATAGATACTGCTGCTTTTTGGGGGTGGCTTATTTATGTCAATGGAAGAGCTCTCTCCCACTGGCATGGAGTGGCTACATTTGAGATCTTACAGCGCCGCAGCTGCATCGGTACATCTGTGCCACTGTAAGCTCTCTAGTGTAGCAATGGCCTAACAGTCAGGAGCCTAAACAATGGTTGGCTCTATCTGAGGTCTTTGCTAGGATGCTGCAAAATGGAATTTTCCTGGACATATGGCTTTCCCCTACTTCCACAACTCTGCCGTACCCTGAGCAGAGCCGAAGCATGGACTTTGTACCCCAAGGAAGGTACAGAGAGGGTGATGGAAACAGCAATGTGGCAGATGACACAGGATGACAAATTACCACTGAGCAACACAAGCTGTTGTCAAAGTAGGAATCAACATATATGTTGATGTTTGGTCCAGTTCACATTTTAAAAAAAAAAAAGGGGGGGGCACCAGTGTAACTACATCAATATAATTACACTTCTATAGACCCTTAATATTGATGCATACACTGATGTAAATCAGGGTTTACAATACTGCAACTTAGGCTTTGTCTTCACTGCAGACTTGGGTTCAACCACTGTTTTCCCCTAGAACATGCTCTGTGTTCACCTATCTATGTGATCATACAACCACCATATCCTGAGGTATAAGGCACACCTGGAGTTAGGTTATCCTACATATTACTAACCCAAGGTAGTTACAGTGAAAATGTGCAGCCATGGCCAGTCACAAAAATCAAGACCTGATGGTCCTCTACTCCTTTCCCACAAACCACCCACCTCCCACCCCAGAACCAATTCCTGTGTTACTATCTTGCCATCTACCTGTGCTCTGACTCCTGACTGGAAGTTGCTTATATGCCTCTGCTAAACATCCTCAGTCCCACATGGCCTGTCTGCATTCAGTTCCTCCAGCCTCACCTAGCTCCGGTTATTGGATACAGCATCAGAGTACCTGGTAAACCTAAATAGTAGTGTGCAGCTTTAGGCCAAAGCAAGCAAAAAGCACTGTTTTAGCTCTTCCAAGAGGAATGTCGAACTGTACGATGGTATATCTCAGCAGCTGCAGTCTGAACACAGGATCATATGGACTGACAGCAGTGCAAGGAGAAGATAAAGGGGCTGAAGGTGAGGCACTGAAGACAATGGATAAGAATCCCAAATCCAGAGATGGCTGCTCCAACAATCTCTGTATTATGATGTTCAGAACATGGTTCTGTTCATCATGGCACCTTGAGCAAAGACCTCCATTTCAGCATGGATTCATCTGTGGATGACAACACATAGCCATGCAAATCTCAGGACTTTGCTGTTCTCTTCTGAACCAGGATGTTTTCAGATTAACAATGCCACTGTAACTGTTTGGGCATTCCATCTCCAGTTTTGAACATCTGTGAACCTGAGGCAAAAAGTTTGGCTAAGTAAAATGTGTATTGGTTGAGTAGTACAGTAGGCTCTGATCTAACAAAATATATATTCAGTAGAAGGGATGCTTCATAAGCATTCCATCTCACATATACCATAAAGCCCTTCTTACAGTAGAGAAACACATTTTTATTGAATGCATACTTGATATGAAGCTATCAGCCAAACTTGCGAACTGTTGCAGAGATCTACCCAATGTTTAATAGCGTTTGAGTGTGAGTACTTAAGCATCAAATAGGTAAGAACTGCTCTAATGCCTATGATAGCTTTGCAAAACAACGAGGATTATTGAATTCAAATAGGTTTCCCTTTGGTAGGACAACTCCAGACAAATTGGCCTAACTAATTTACTCTACTCAACTGTAAATTTACTAACAGGATAGACACACAACAAATTGTAAAAGTGTCTATTGGTGTGATGGGGAGGGGTTTGGCACTAAGGCATGCAGTCATGGGCAGTGGGCGAATGCACCCTTGGAGGAGGCTAGCTCCTGGCCCCTCTGCCCAAGGCCTCGCCTCTTCTGTCCCCCATTCCCCATTGGAGCCCAGAATACCCCCCTCCACAGCTGCCGGCCACCCGTGTGAACCTAGCCCTACAGGGTGGGTGGCATGGTCCCAGCAACAGAAAGATGGGTGGTGCAGTGCGGCATGGCCCCAGCCTGCGGGTCTTGTGCGCATTGCAGCCCCCAGTCTGCCTGCCCCAGCTTCTCGGCCACAGAAGGGAACAGCCAGCAGGAGGGCGCCTGAGGGTAAAGCGTGGGTGGGGCCACGCCAGGTAGTTTGGGGAGGCACAGTCTTCACAATAGTCTGTTTGGGGAGGCACAGCCTTCCCCTGCCCACGATACCCACCACCGATGAGTCACAATGCTGAAAATAGACAAAGCTGCTAACGGCCTGAGTTAGAAGTCTTGGTTGGAGTGCTGGAGGTAGAAATGCCTATATGAAATCTCCAACAGTCAGTCAATTCTTGGAGCAGTTGAACTGGGATAGATGGACCTGTGAGGTTTTTTTTAACTATTTTTAATTAAACCTGCTGAAAGCAAGTCCAGTAAAAACACTGTTTAAAAGTGGATCCGGTCGGGGAAGCCTTGAATGAACTAATGCTCCCCCTGGTGGAAGACGTTAGCTTTGGTGGGAATCTTTAAGTAAATATCACCAGTGTAGAAAAGGGCTTTGCTGTTTTCCCATCTTCTGTTCTTGATGATTGGGATTTGCTGCCATTCATCAAAAGATATACTAGCAGGATTATCCTGGGTCTCTGTTGCTGACTTCTCTGCCAGAGAAGCCACCACACTGTGAAATCCCAACCTCTCTTAATGACTACTTGGAAGATGGGATGGTCCTCTCAGGTCATCTGCCTCAGTGGCATATATCAGTGTCACATATTGTTTTAAAAAATACACTCAACTCTGTGTGGGGATATCAGTAGTGTAATTGAAAGTGCTTGACTGTTCCTTCAATTTAAAGAGACAAGGTGGGTGAGGTGATATATTTTTTTGGACCAACTTCACTGTCATAGTGCTATGGTATTACTTTGTTCTCCATGCAATGATGTTTTGCCCCAGGGGTTAAACCCAGCTCTGATTAAGCAAGTGCAACTACCATTGTGTTGCATCTGCTACACGTAGGTAGAGAACAAAACTTAGCCCTGGAGTAAGAAGCGTACAACTATATGCTTGTCTACTTTCAGGCTAAATTTTTCCCTCTGCCTTTGAATGGCAGACAAGTGCTCTCTTACAGTGTGATGTTGATATGGTGAGCTTTGTAGTTGCAAAGAGTTCTTTCAGAATTAGTCCAATGTTCATATTCAGGGTGATCTAGATGGGACTGGAGATCTTAGTTTTATGACTGAAAATTCCTCTGCATAAAGCATCAATCAGATCTGAGATGAAAGGATCAGGTCCCAAGAATCTTTTATACAGTTTTCTAGCAGCCTCTGAACCATATAGTCCTGGGTGAACAATAGGCTTTTGATGTAACCTTCTGTTTCCCAAACATCACCAGTCAGTTTACCACAAACTTTAAAAGAGACATGTAGACAATGACATTATTTCACCCAAGATTCATCTAAATGTTAATATTCCCCTTTGATCTCTGAATCAATAGCTATAGTGATAGAAAAGAACTGTTTGTTTACATGGCTAATATCTAACAAGATATAACTAAACACATACAACTAGTATTACCTCTAATTCTCGAACAATAGAGGTTTGCATTTCAAACTTAGTTCTAGGCTCCCTAACATGGAATTGCCCTAATTACCATTTACATACTTTTCTAAGATGTTTGTAAAGGTTGAATCTGGGTCATTTAGCCTGTGAGCTGCTTAAACTTTTCTTACCATGTGCCACTACAGGTATCTAATACCTGTAGTGAGATGGTGGCAGCTTATCTAGATTGTCATGAATGCCTCCAGATGTCTGCTGCTGTCAGGCCCAGTGCTTCCTCTCCTGTTGGTCACAGATTCACTTACAGATGAACACTAATTGGTTTGACTAACCCTAGGTGGTTTTGCATCCAAGCGTTAAGACTGGGATCACTGCCTGTGGCCTTTTTAGACTGGTTTCTGGAGACTGACAAGATTCGGCAGCTCACTAACCCCCAGCCAGTGTGCGGTGGTTTGGGGATTTTTTGTTTTTGTTTTTTGTGGGGGTGCATACATATTATGTCATGCCATTGTGAAATTATTTGACAAGAGGGAGCAGGACTCACTGTCTGGATGTAAGCAATTTAGAAGTGGATATGCCTATCCTCAGCAGCTTTCTGTTCTAGGAGCTATGCTAAATGACTGTTTGGCAAGACTTGTTTTCTCTGGGCATTTACTATGTGGTGATTGGGTGTTTAGGACTAAATAATACATAATGAATACTTAGTAGCATAGTCATCATTCTGATACTTGGTTTTTCTTATAGGGTCAGCACTGGTGAACAGAGGGAGATAATTATTTCTAGGTCTTGTCTGGGATAGCTAACGTACTTTAACCATCAGATAACTTTCTCTCTGTATTGTCTAAATGTTCCTTTCACTCAGATATCACTATCTTGATTTATGAGTCCCAGTACATGAAAGCACTGACACACATGGGCTTAAAGTTAGACACATGCTTAACTGCTTGTTCTGCTTATTTTCACCTGTAGTCTATCACAATGAGCTATTGAAGCTTGCATTTCTCACCACTGTTGCAGTTTCTTACTTTAATCTTACTGTGATTAATGCGAAAAATATAGTTTTTGACTATTTGAGGTGTGATAAACTTACCCTACCTGTTCTGGTGAGATAATTATAAAAGAGACACACTTAGGCTCTTATATTCCATGAACTTACAAGTAAGTGATGGAAGAGCCGGTGCTTGTATAACACTCTCTTGTCCTTCAGTAGCGTATTAAAAATTCAGCTGTTTTTTCAAGTTCTAGGGGCTACGTGTGGAACATTTGTGTGTGGCTTCTAATTTTTTACATCTGCCTTATTTTTAACTCCTAGGTCTTGAAAAAATTTCCTTTGCTGAAGGACTCACTCTACAAAGAGTTCGTCTTATGATGTCCAGTACTGTATCCTCCAGGATTTTAAGTTCTGCAAGAAACAGTATCATTGTTTTGCAAGGAAAAGGATGTTTGTACTCAAGATACATCCCAAACAGAAACAAGATTAAATGGAAGTGTGGATTTGCCAAAGGGCCTCTTTCCCCTTTTGTGCTGAGCTGGAGCATCGACAATGTCTTCACCTTAAAAAAAGCATTCAGACATACTTCAACTGAAGAAGACGACTTCAGTCTTCAGTTGACACCATCACAAATAAATGATATACTAAGAGCAGGTGAATTCTCTCATAAAATTCATGAATTTGATGGTAAAAACACAAATTCTGTGCTGAAATTTGAGAGTAACCAGCTGGCTGCCAACACACCTAATGAAGATCGTAGAAGTGCAGCCACATGCTTGCAGACCAAAGGGATGATGTTTGGGGTCTTTGATGGTCATGCAGGTTATGCATGTGCTCAGTCGGTAAGTCAGAGACTATTCTATTATATAGCTGTCTCTCTCATGTCTCAACAAACGCTGGAAGAGATTGAGTTTGCCATGGAACGCATGAAACCAGTTCTGCCAATTCTGCAGTGGTACAAGTATCCAAATGACATCTACCAAGAAGTAGCCTCACTGTATTTGGATCACCTCAGAGTTTTTTGGCAGGAACTATTGAACCTAGACATAGAACTGGGATTCAGTGTAGAAGAAGCCTTGATATATGCATTCAAAAGGTTAGATTCAGATATATCACTGGAAGCTCAGGCTCCCCTAGAAAATGAAATGATGAAAAACACTGCCCTTCAAGTGGCTTTCTCTGGTGCGACAGCCTGTGTGGCTCACATTGACAGTGTTCACTTACACATTGCAAATGCTGGGGATTGCAGGGCAGTCCTAGGGGTTCAAGAAGAAGATGGAATGTGGACTGCACTCTCTCTTACTCAAGATCACAATGCTTTCAATGAAGCAGAAATCAGAAGGTTAAAGGGAGAACATCCTAAATCTGAGGCTGAAACTGTAATAATAAACAACAGGCTGCTAGGGATTCTCATGCCCTCTAGAGCTTTCGGAGATGTCAGATTCAAATGGAGTAAAGAACTGCAACACAATATTCTAGAGAATGGTTGTGATGTTGAGGCTTTAAATATTTATCAGTATGCTCCTCCCAATTACTATACGCCTCCCTATTTAATTGCTGAGCCTGAAGTCACCTACCATAAACTAAGGTGTCAAGATAAATTTCTAGTTATTGCTTCAGATGGACTGTGGGACATGCTGAACAATGAGGATGTCATAAAACTTGTTGCAGAACACGTAGCACAAGCTAATGTGCAGAAACCAAGGATGACTTTTCAGAAACCAGCCAGCTTGGGTTACATGCAAAGTCTACTGCGTCATAGAAAAGCCAGGGGTGTTAGCTCATATGACCAGAATATAGCCACTCACCTAATAAGGCATGCAATTGGAGATAATGAATATGGAGAGATAGACCAAGAGAAACTTGCTGCAATGTTGACTTTACCTGAAGATCTAGCAAGGATGTATAGAGATGACATCACTGTTACTGTGGTGTATTTAAATTCAGATACAATTGACAGCTACTACAAAGAAAATGAATAGGGGTTGCATTAATATTGTACCATGTAATGGTCAACTCTGATACTGGGGACCATTAATGTTTACTTCTACTAATAGTCAAGTTGTTACAATGCTGTTGCCTGCAAGTCCCCTGTTTTTTAATACTGAGAAACCATGAGCTCTTTTGGAAATAATTTTCTAGAATGACTAATTTGTAAGACTTCTCTGGGCTCCCAGTTTTGTGCTGATTGAAGTAAAATGTACTGCTAGCAGTTCAGTAAAATGTAAGTGGAGGCAGGAATGAAAGACAGTGAACCTACTCCTGGTCCCATTGACACCAATGGCAAAACTCCTGAAGTGAACAAAAAGCAGACAAATTGATCTAAATTAGTATAACTTGTCAGTGAAGGGTAGTACTTGTAACAGAACCAAGAGCAAGAAGGAGCCATTGTTCAAAGGCCTCATGTAAGATAGTGTGGCCTCCTCTCAAAGTATAGCAGTCAAAATTTAGAGGTGTACACTAGGAATGGACACTGTTGTATCAGATACTTGAAATTGACTAATTGCTAATAATATTTTATGCCTACTGGAAGCAAACAAACCATACTTTTTTCAAGACTGGCTGACTTTAAAGTGTGAAACTGAATAAAAATAGCATGTGTGCGAATACATACATGTGTAACAATCCACAGCTCTAGCACACTTTAAAATAGTTTACAGTCTTGTCTTTAGGAATAGTATATATTTCTAATTTAATGAGTACTTTTACCACACCAACAGTACTTGATTGGAGTATTTTCTTATGCATATTATTTGACTTACTAAAAATCCATTTTATATTAGAAACTGCTGCTTCAGTGCACAATATTTCATAGATCCATCTGTGAAATTGCAACTTAGATATTGTCTGTCTATGTATTTGGAATTAATAAGTGCATCTGAAACTTAAATGTAGCAGTTAGAAACAATACTGCATTTACTTTTTCTTTAAAAAATAGAATCGACGACAATACTGGCATTTCACCAAAGAGAACTTCATTCTTGTTTTTTCTATTCCCCCTGCTTTTGGGACATGAACTGCTTACGTCCATGTGTACAATGCTGTTTAAATGCTCTTGATTACTATTCAGATCCTTATTTCCCTGGTGAATGTTTTTTACTTTTTTTTTTTTTACATTTAAAACAACTCGTGTTTGAGTTGTACTAAAAGAATCAATATTGTATAGCTTTCTTTTATACTCCACCTTCTAGAATACCGTATTTAAAGCTTGAAACTAGCTTTCCTTTTTTAAAATCTGGCCTACATTGTGGTGTAGTGACTTTTTTTGTTATGCATTGGCATAATTGCTGCCTTCAGGAAGGTGTATACTGTAGTTCTGGGAACAGAGGCCTCAGTTTTACTGTGGTTGCTGTCAGGAAAGTACCTGGGTGTGTGCTGCAGAGGTAGTAATATGTGGAACTCCACTTCACCCCCCTCCCCCCTACCCTTGTGTTCTATTTTTAAAAAAGGGTGGCTTTTTTTCTTAATTTTCTTGCATATTAGAGTGTTAAAGATATCTACAGTTCAGAGGATATTTCTCCTCCTAGTAACTGTAAAGTAGATAAAGTCTTGGGTCTAAATTAGTAACATTTGTGTCATGTGGCTTTTCCAAAAAAATGCATTTATTTATCAGTATAAACTATCTATTAATGGTTTGTGGAGTATTTAAATAAGATTCCACATTAAAACTACGTAGGAAACTGTACAAACTGTTAAAAATACTAATATGGATGATTAATCGTAGGCAGATTTGGGACAATTAAGTGTATGTATTTTGATGTTGTGCTAACAATTATTGCATCCCTGGTTGCAACTGTAACAGCATTCTCTCCATATTATCTAAATGTTCTTTTCCCTCAGATTGGACTGTCTTGATTTATGGGTCCAAGTACCTGAAAGCACTTAAGCATATGTGTAACTTTAAGCCCATGCTTAACTGCTTTGCATAATAAGGGTTGCTTTCCTGAATCCAGATCCTAGCACCATAAAAGCAACATACCTTAAAGTATTTTGTTAAGCACGTATCGGAGCAGAAAAGGCAATTTAACTTTGAGGCAGCTGGCATTTTTTCCATATTGCTAGTCAAATGTGGCATTTCTGTGCTTGATGTATACAGCAGAAAGGGTGGCTGAAAGAAAAAGATTTGTGTCTTGGATTGGTGGTGGAGGCTGAAGGAAAAGTGTGTGTGTGTGTGTGTGTGTGTGTCGGGGTTGGGGGACTGTTATAGGGGGTGTTGAAGTTTTGGTGTCTCATAGTCTCATTTAGTCTTAATCCATCCCTACCTGCTCAGGTGGCATTGGGCTCACTGACATTCCTCATTTGGAAGAAGAGGAGAGAGGCTGTGGAGGAGGAATTGTAGGCTGCAAAGCTAAGGAGGAGACTAGTCTCGGAGCAAGTTTTTTGAGAGCCCTCCCCAAACCTCTAGTTCCCATTTAGCCTTAATCTCTCTGAATGGTTTAAGTGGGATATCTTTTCCCATGTGCCTACACTTGGTTTTTTGTAAGTGTCTATGCATGTGCAGCTGTATGGTTTCGTTGTTTACGTCAGACTGTAACCATAAAAATAGTGCTGTAAAGGAGTGTATATCTAGACTACCTCTTATTAGATAAGGGCACTATATCATTAGTGATGTGGCTAAGAGAACAAAGGTGCTAGACTCTGGTAGAGCAGATAAAATCAAAACTTTATATATATATATATAAGCAATCAATATGCTCAGTAAAATACTTAGAGGAAATGCAAGCCTTTATCTGTTAAAGTACAGTGTTGCAAATCTAAGTACTTTTAAGGTATAGTTAAAATGACTTAATATTAACAAAATTAAAGACTATATAATTCATGTGGTCAGGGGTTTTGTTGTGCAAAAATTGAGCTGTGTGCAACAAGTGTCCCAAATGATCTAATGTTTTACTGCTACATATGCAAATATAATGTCTTTTTTGTTGTTGTTGTTGTTTGTTAGCAAATTGGTGATTATTATTTTGGGGATTGCAGTCACATCTGACAATAGGAATGGTACTAGCTCTAATTTCATGCCAGTCTGTGCCTGATTTAACTTGTACCACTGTAATTATTGTTCCTTGGAAAATGGTAACATTAAAGCAAGTGCTGAGTGTTCAGTTTACTGGCAAATAATGGTGTTTAACTGCACACACTCTTGTATTTTGTTGGAAACCAATGGTGGCCAATTCCTGTTGGTGATTAAGTTGATAGCAAAACTCCCATCAACTTCAGTCAGAATGTGGTCATAACTTATCTTTATAACTGCACAAACATGTTTAATAGGCATTAATGTGTACAGTATGCAGTGCTTTAGTGTTGTGGTAACATGCTTCAGTGCTAAACCAATTTAAATGAAGTTAATATGTTGATCATATCACACAGGATAACTTGGTAGTTAAGTTTAGCTGCGTAAACCTTGCTGTATCCTAAATATCTACTGTAGCTTTACTGACAGTTTAATTGGCTTAGTTTGAGTCAACTTTATGTTTGGAGATTAAACATTTTTCACTTTAACTGTATTTTTTATAAGATCAAGTCAAGATGTAGTAATAAAACTACCTATTGCCTATGAAACTTGTTTTTTGCATACCTAATGTGCCTCTTAAATCTAAATAAAATAATCTTAGTTGAAACACTGGTGTAGGTACTCATCCCTTCCAAGGAAATGTGTTTATGTAAATCTGACTTTAATTTGGATTTGAGCTATAACTTTCTGGCATAATTTTGAAACTTATTTACATTATGCACAAATATTTGTTTGAGTGTTTGGTTAATAATGCTTTTCTCTCTCTACTTACAATGACTTATTTGTATTTAAATTTTCAAACCTTCATACGGTTTGTTGCTTTTTCTAACTTCTTTGTAAAGATTGAAGTGAATTAATATTTTGTAAATAAATATATACATCCTACACGTGTGTGAAACTGATTTCAAAATGCCACTTTAATAGCCAAACCTTTTTTGTCTGGGGGGCCCCTAAGGTGGGTGTTAGTGTACTGACCTCTACGGTGAGGCCAGGATCAAAACACCACCTCTGCTGATGTCATCAGCCAGTCTTCTGGGTTGCTGAATGTGAAGGTTAGAATCAGTTAACTTTCCTGGGTATATTTAATTGAACCTTACTTATCTACTTGAAAGTCCTAAATTTCTTCTGGTGTTGCATTTTCTTTAATGGGGAGGCAGGAAAATTAGAAAGTAGTTCCAAGAATTGATTTTTGAGAACATCTGATACCATGTAATAAAAGTTTCTAATTAATCTGAAAATGGTCCTCAGAGTCTAAACAGTGCAAATGAATGTTTATACTACAGGGTGGATTGATTTAAATCAAGGTGATTTTAAAATCACCAATTTAAATCAAGTGGAAAGCCTTGATTTGAATCATGACTTTTAATCAACTTTTCCATTTGTACTTCAGTTACTTTCTAAACAAAGATGCGTTCTCATTGGTTGATTATAAGCATTAAAACATGTTGATTTACAACTAAATAGAACCTTTACACTAGACTTGATACACTTTTTGTTACCTGGAAGGGTAAACTAAAGCTATATCATTGCTTTAATGTGTATAGTTAATTATTTTCAAAATTTTATTAATTGTACATTTTTAGTATGTTAGAAAATGGTGAATAATAAACTACTTATTTAGTAAACTAACTTGCTCATGATTTGTGTCAAGCTGCATTAGAATGGTAACTGGAATTTAATTAAACATATTTTTTATTAAAACAGCCTTAAATGTTTTTGTGTATATAAACTTCTCTTATCAAAACATGTTTCACATTCACAACTAAATGATGTATTTAAATAGAGGAATTAGCCAGTCATGGAATTAAACTGATGACTTCAGGTCAGCTTGGGACAATTTTCAGATATGCCTAAGTGAAAGTGACTGGAGCTTAAGTTCCTACTTGCCTAAGTCTCTTGAAAATGAGACAGTCTCCTAAGTTATGTAGGCTGTCCTTCAGGTTTTTAAAACTAGTAGATCTCATTCTCTTCCTCCTCCATTTTTATTCATAGACTGGAAAAGAAAGAAAAGCTTTCCTGCTTTTTTCAACTCCAAGCAGTTTCTCAACTTTGAATGAATTTGTCCAAATAAAGAAAATATTCTTTCTTTGTCTGCAGAAGAGGCTACTGCTGTCAAAAGCTGGTTTAGCATTTCAACAAATTCTGGTTTCAGGTGCTCAGCTAGTAACTTCCACCAGTTCGGTGGTGTGACTTTCTTTAAAACACTATCAACGAACATGTAATGCTTGGATAGTTCCTCTTAGGCCATGTCTATGCTATCACTATCAGCAAAACTTATGCCGCTCAAGGGTATGGAACCCCCCCCCCAACATAAGTTACACCAACAGATGTGCCAGTATGGACAGCACTGTGTCATTCCTGCCGCCATAGCTACTGCATCTTGTTGGGGATGGTTTTAATTATGTTGGCGTGAGAGCTCTCTCCTCTCAGCATGGAACGGCTGCACAGGAGATTTTACAGCGGTGCAGCTGCATCGATACTGCTGTGCCATTGTAAGGTTTCTAGTGTAGACATAGCCTTTAGCTGTAATAGTTCTATCTATTGTCATGATTTTCTTCACAAATTGTCATTAGAATTGGCCAGTTCTTAATAAATAGCTCAAAACAGCCAACCAGTGAATTCCATTGTACATCTTGGGGGAGAATTAAGTTTGGATCCTTCTGTTGTCTTCAGTGAAGCTGAAGCAAAGTACTTTGCAATTTCAACAAGTACAACTCCAGGAATCAAGTCTTTGGTTAAAAGAGGGGTCAAATGAGTGCTGCACCATGTAAGTTTCAAGTTCCCTTCATTATCTTCTAGATTTTTTTTTCTCATTTTTGCTGTGTTTGCAACATTGTCTCTGACAAAGCTTCCCACTTGACACTTGAATTTTTGTTCAGTTTGTTACAGCTCTTACTGCTATTCTGGTGTGTAGGCATTTCTTGATGTATCCATTCCTGTAAAAGACATCTTGTATTATCATACAGGCACATATTACTGGATCATTATGTACATTGCCGGATACTATGTATGAAATGGAAATTGAGTACTTTAACAAATTTCCCCTCAATTTTTTGCAATCTGAGTTTTGATGGGTGGAGCAATGTCTGCTTTGCTGGATGGCGTGTAGCCTGATCATAATGATTGATCCATGTCAATGAAATGTTTGTTTTGAACAAGATGAAAGGGAGACTGCTTGATTCATTTATTAAATAATCTTTTAATCTATGGAGTTGTTCTGGAATTGGCTGGTCCTAATTACCAACTCATCCATGATTTTACTGGATGATAAATTTTTTTTTTTTGTTTTTGATACAGGTAACTTACCGTCATTTAGAGAGGCGAGGTGGGTGATGTAATATCTTTTATTGGACAAACTTCTGTTGGTGAGAGAGAGAGAGAGAAACAAGCTTTTGAGCTAAACAGAGCTCTTCTTCAGGTCTAGGAAAAGTACTTGTCACACCTAAAATGCAAGGTGTAACAGCAGAGTGGCCCGTTAACATCTCTGCAATCATAGTTTAATAACATCACTGCCAGTGGTGGTAGCAAGAGTATGAAGTTGTAGACCTCGCAGCTGATGGAATTTCATTACCCTGTAGCCAAAGCTAGAGCCTGAAACATAATGGTATTTAAAAACAACAACAAAAAATTCTCTCTCTGAATATTACTCATTGCGCTGCCTTGAAAAAGAGATTGTAAATGCAAGATTCCTCCTACTTTAGATGTTTGTACCACTGTTTAAATGATATGATTTTATTCTAAACACAGTTTTATACGGGAAAACAGTAACTTATAGGGGTTTAAATAATCCCTATCTCTAGCAACATATCAAACAAGTTGAAAAAAACCCCACTTTAAAAATTTTTAACTTACAAATGCCTAATAAAACTTTACTCTTGAACAGGAAATCTTCACCTAGGATGTTTGAGTATATTGAGCAATAACAATTTGTAGAAGTAAATGTAATTGATAAACACCCCCCAACAACCTGACATACCAGTTATATTTTGAACGTACATACTTTGAAATTCATAAGTAAGCAGGGGTGCTGGAACAATTTGTATAGTGGGGGTGCCGAGAGCCATGGAAGCAAACTGCTGTAAACCCTGTACATGATGGAAACCACTTCAAGGTAGGGGGTGTGGCAACATCCCTAATTCCAGCACCTATGTAAGTAGTCCACCCAAAACACACACTTATGAAAATCTAAGTTACATACTAGCATAGTAAGGCATGATTGGTAGGCAGTCCATTAGAATAGTGCAAAAAAATAAGTACCAGTTGATCAAGCTTGTTAAGATGTCTACATCATCTTCAGTTATTACCTTCTGAGGAGCATTTTTCATAATGTAGTTATGTCACTCTGACAACCTGGCCTTACATTTCTTTGTTGCACTGTTTACATATGGCACATTCCTTTTTAGCCAGAAGTACAGGAATTTCTTTAAAATATTCCCAAAGAGGGTCTCTTCTCCAGCCTGCCATCATGGCAGTTTTTTCCTCCAATCCCCAGGTATTGAAATCAACACTCGAGGCAGCACTTTGAAGAGTCTTGTCCCTCCTTCACATAGTGTCGCTTTGATACCAGCCTTGCTCCTTTCTGGTTGTACACTCTGCTCCTTCTCCTTTGTTACATAATTTCCCTGTTCCCTTAAAAACGAACTAACAACAATCCAAGACTTCTGCTCATAAAACCCACATGCCTTTTCTACTATAGAGTTTATTTGTTCAGAGACAAAAAGGGAGGCAGTTGAGAAATTAATTAGTTTGGTTAGAATCATAGAATATCAGGGTTGGAAGGGACCTCAGGAGGTCATCTAGTCCAACCCCCTGCTCAAAGCAGGACCAATCCCCAATTAAATCATCCCAGCCAGGGCTTTGTCAAGCCTGACCTTAAAAACTTCTAAGGAAGGAGATTCTACCACCTCCCCAGGTAACACATTCCAGTGTTTCACCACCCTCCTAGTGAAAAAGTTTTTCTTAATATCCAACCTAAACCTCCCCCACTGCAACTTGAGACCATTACTCCTTGTCCTGTCCTCTTCTACCACTGAGAATAGTCTAGAACCATCCTCTCTGGAACCACCTCTCACGTAGTTGAAAGCAGCTATCAAATCCCCCCTCATTCTTCTTTTCTGCAGACTAAAAAATCCCAGTTCCCTCAGCCTCTCCTCATAAGTCATGTGTTCTAGACCCCTAATCATTTTTGTTGCCCTTCGCTGGACTCTCTCCAATTTATCCACATCCTTCTTGTAGTGTGGGGCCCAAAACTGGACACAGTACTCCAGATGAGGCCTCACCAATGTCGAATAGAGGGGGACGATCACGTCCCTCGATCTGCTCGCTGTGCCCCTACTTATATATCCCAAAATGCCATTGGCCTTCTTGGCAACAAGGGCACACTGCTGACTCATATCCAGCTTCTCGTCCACTGTCACCCCTAGGTCCTTTTCCGCAGAACTGCTGCCTAGCCATTCGGTCCCTAGTCTGTAGCTGTGCATTGGGTTCTTCCGTCCTAAGTGCAGGACCCTGCACTTATCCTTATTGAACCTCATCAGATTTCTTTTGGCCCAATCCTCCAATTTGTCTAGGCCCCTCTGTATCCTATCCCTGCCCTCCAGCGTATCTACCGCTCCTCCCAGTTTAGTATCATCCGCAAATTTGCTGAGAGTGCAATCCACACCATCCTCCAGATCATTTATGAAGATATTGAACAAAACCGGCCCCAGGACCGACCCCTGGGGCACTCCACTTGACGCCGGCTGCCAACTAGACATGGAGCCATTGATCACTACCCGTTGAGCCCGACAATCTAGCCAACTTTCTACCCACCTTATAGTGCATTCATCCAGCCCATACTTCTTTAACTTGCTGACAAGAATACTGTGGGAGACCGTGTCAAAAGC